ATTTCATTTATTTCTATAGCACTTTACACAACCGATGGTGCTTCACAAAAACAGTAATTAACATGACAACAAGTTAAAAGCAAGAAAAACACAATAAAATAATGAGAGAACCAGAAATGTCCCCACATATTTACAACAAAAAGTGGGTGGAAAAGGTGAAACACCTCCACCTTCATTTGTTCCACTCTTGAGCAAGGCCCTTAACTCCCACCATGTGCTCCCTAAACAGGTCTCTCTTGGAAATGAGTTCTCGTGACTCAATGAGACTACCTGTATAAATAAAGTGTAAATGAAAAAAAGTGGTTATTGTGAATGAGTTGAATAAAGTTGGACGTATCTGAATGTTTTGTTTCGCTTAATGCTCCTTATGTATGAAAACAGACCCGTTCATTGATATTGTGCCTTATAGTCCGAAAAATACGGCAATCCTTTTAGCAAAATTAAATCACTCAAAATCCTTTATGAGTAATTGTATCAGTCACCAGCTAGTTGATCTTTTCAGTCCCTCTCTGGACTGGACTGATTTGCTGTCGCCATCCACTGGTCTGAAGAGGCCGGTGATGCAACATCAGGAGGGAATCAGATCTCAGGGGCCTGATCACAACATAAAAACATCACTTACAAGACACAAACTGCTTTAACACAAAAGTATCGCTCCCTATTTTTAAAGTCACTTATCTTGAAACCCCACACTGGTTTCGGTGAATATGATGGAAAAATACGCAGAATGAAGAACAAAATGCACATTTTGTTTAAAATAGTCAAGAAGCGCAGTAAAACACACTTAAGCTGCTTTTAATAGACTTTTATCTGAAACATCATATCAGTGAAGTGAACTGCTCTTTTCTCTGTGCTGGTTGATGCAGACAGAACTGACATGAATATAAACACAGTTCACACAAAATGAGGGAATTAACCATTAAAGATGAGCATCAAACCATGTGTGCGCCATCTAGTGGTCATTTATAGTGATTAGTTATACTAGTTCAAATGAAATGTGTTGTTTTAAACAGAAATATGAGTTGAAATACAACACAAGCTTACTGTATATGTGCAATACATTTATGTGTCTATTTAAAAAAAATTAATCCAAATATAAAAGCGTTGATACATCTTGAACAGGGGTGTCGTACTCACTTACAAAAGGGGGGGCAAAAGTTAAACCTTTTTCAAACTAAGGGCCAATTTCAGAAGCTGCATTAACTCAAATCAGATACACAACATCTTTTCTTGGTCACGGGTTCCTCAACAAGAGTTTGATTGGTCTCATTTGATGTTCTCTGTTGTGTTCGACATCATAATCAAAGATTACTGGAAAAAAATACAAGCGATGAAAGTATTTTATATTTCACATATCATCTTGGGGGCCAGATAAGATGTCAACGAGGGCCACATTTGGCCCCCGGGCCTTGAGTTTGACACATATTTGAATATTTGAAATTCCAAGTTTAGATCACGTGCATGAAAAGCACAAGGTCCAATAAATATTTAGTTAAAATGTGGATAACTTATGATCCTGAATATCTGAGAAATATATTTTCAACTCTGTTATTTTTACATCTGAAGCATAAATGATCAGTGACTAATTGATTTTGTATTTTGTATCATATTGTGTGTTTAAACGTATCCTGGTCAAAAAGGAGAAAACTAAACGTGCCAAATAACTTTTCCATGTCAGATCTTTTATTGTCTCTGCACGAACAGCTGAATGACAACAGCAGCCATGTTTATTTTATTTTTCCATTCAACTTTTAAAATAAACTTGAATAATTGCACTTTTTATTCCACTTATATATATTATAACTATATGCTAAAATGTTTGTGGAAAAAGTGACTTAAAGATGCATTTTGAAGCAAAACTCCTAAATAATTCATCGATTCAATTCTTTCCCAATAATCTAAAACTGAATTTGATTTCTCGGCAGTTTTTGTAATCATCTATTTCAACATTTTTTAACGTAAATATAAAAACGACGCGCAGGTCGTCCCCCAGTCAGTGTCCTGACTTTGAGAAATGGGTGTGACCTTTGCAGCGTGAAACATGAGCTGAGCTCGTCACCAGCAAACTGACTTCCCTCCAAACGAGCAGCACAGACGAGTGAACGAGAGGTTCTGTTCATGCTCTCATATGTAGAATTCATGTTGACATCTGCCCGACCTCACTGTTTCACCCCCTCCTCATTGTGTCTGCAGCAATCACAGGCGGCAGAAAACAAATCTGATTTATTCAACAAAACATTTAAATTAGTTGTTGCATTAAACAGCTCTACTTTTATTTGACTGTATCAATTGTAATAAGCACAACTAATTGTGATTACAGTGGTGCTTGAAAGTTTGTGAACTCATTATAATTTTCTATATTTCTATTGCGTGCTTAGTGTCATTTTTTTAGTTAACTTTTTTCTTAGTTCATATCTTAGATCTTATTGCTGTTTTTCTTTTACATTTTAATACTTTGTTGGATGTAACTGGGACCCTGTGTACACAGTTTCATTCCACCACATGTACCACATGAGGTGGAATGTCAGATAAAGAATCTTGAATCAATATGACATTTTAAAAGTGCGTTGGACAGTTTTTAACCCAGTTATTTTAGTTTCTTCCATCTCCTTAGATGCTTTCTCTGCTTGATGCCGATGATTTGACCCTTCTCAAACAGACTGACATCTTTTCCACGACCACACGATGCATCTTTCAACATGGTTGTTTAAGAAACGAGAAGCAACTCATTGCACCAGTTGGGGTTAAATAACTTGTTGCAGTTGAAAGATAATCGTCCATGCAGTAATTATCCAATAGGAGGCTCACACCCATTTGCTTAGTTAAATCCAGGTGGTGACTTTTTTTTTTTTTTTTTGGGCCAGGCAGTGTATTATACTTGGTCATTTATTTATTGTGGAAAATAATCGAGTATTACATATTTGTGAGTTACAAAAGTATGTGAACATTAGCTTTGACTATCTGCTGTGACCCCCTGTGCAGCAAAAACTGCAACTAAATGTTTCCAGTAACTGTTGATCAGTCCAGCTTGGAGGAGTTTTAGCTCGTTCTTCTGCACAGAACAGCTTCAGCTCTGGATGTTTGTGGGTTTCCTCACATTAACTGCTCTCTTCAGGTCCTTCCACAACAGTTTGGTTGGATTAAGGTCAGGACTTGGACTTGGCCATTCCAAAACATGAACTTTATTCTTCTTGAACCATTCTTTGGTAGAACCACTTTTGTGTTTAGGGTCATGGCCTCGCTGCATGACCCACCTTCTCTTGAGATTCAGTTCATGGACAGATGCTCTGACTTTTTCCTTTAGACTTCCCTGATATAATTCAGAATGCATTGTTCCATCAGTGATGGTAAGCTGTCCTGGCCCAGATGCAGCAAAACAGGCCCAAACCATGATACTACCACCGTGTTTCACAGATGGGATAAGGAAGGAAGAGCTTTCCTTCCCCCAAACGTAACCCTTTTCATTTTAAACAAAAATTCCATTTTGTTCTCTTCCGTCCACAAAACATTCTTCCAGCAGCCTTCTGGTTTGTCCACGTGATTCTTTAACAAACCGCAGACGAGCAGCCATGTTCTTTTTGGAGAGCAGTGGCTTCCTCCTTCAACCCTGTCATGCACACCGTTGTTGTTCAGTGTCTCCTGATGGTGGACTCATGAACATTAAAGTGAGCGAGGCTTTCAGTTGCTTAGAAGCTACCGTGGGCTCCTTTGTGACCTCCCTGACTATAACACACCTTGGAGTGATCTTTGTTGGTCCACCACTCCTGGGGAGGGTAACAATGGTCTTGAATGTTCTCCATTTGTCCACAATCGGTCTGACTCTGGATTAGTGGAGTCCAAACTCTTTAGAGATGTTTTGTAACCTTTTCCAGACTGATGAGCACCAACAACTCTTTTTCTCAGGTTTTCAGAAATCTCCTCTGTTCCTGTCATGATCCACTTCCACAAACATGTTGTGAAGAGCAGACGTTGATAGATCCCTGTTCTTTAAATCAAACAGGGTGCCCACTCACACCTGATCATCATCACATTGATTGAAAACACCAGACTCTTAATATTAACAGCTAATCCTAGAGGTGCACATACTTTTACCATCACAAATATGTTATATTGGATCGTTTTCCTCAAAAAATAAATGACCAAGTATAATATTTTAGTCTAATTTGTTTAACTAATTCTCCTTTTAGGACTTGTCTGCAAATCTGATGATGTTTTAGGTCATATTTATGCAGAAATAATAGACAATTCTAAAGAGCTCACAAACTTTCAAGCTTCTGTCCACAAACGTTATTTAATCTGCACCAAATTGTATAAAACCTTGTTGTAGTGGCATGGCGGTGAAATCCAATCGGTCATCAGAGCTTCGAGCGTTCTTCTTAATCTACGCACCAGTCGGCCCTCGCATGTATCAAAAACCTGCCAGTGCACCTGAACTTCACTGGTGTTTAAGGGATGTGCTGCAACAACCAGTGAGGGCAGAGATGGGAACGAGGAAGTGACCAGGCAACGGAGCAATGAGGTCTAAAGGTGTTTCCATGAACGTGGAGTTGGTTCATCTGCCAAATGAAGGATACACAATTTGAGAAAACTCTCCTCTGGTTTGTGTTTTACATCTCAAAAGTGGTATCTTCAGATGTGAAAAAAACATTTCCAACTTTCAGACATGCCAGCAAAGTGTTTGTGTAGCTGTGGGAGCCTCAGAGTCACAGGAGCCGGCCTACCAGAGCTGGCACACAATGAAACCTCTGGCTCTGGAAAAGAGAGCCTCTAAAATATAAATGAGGAAATCTACACCTGTTTCCAAGTGACCGAGGCAGGTATTATGAACTGTGACGAATGCTAGTGTGTGTGTACCTGCGTGCACGAGCAACACGACGTCCGGGCTTTACCTGCAGGCGCTGTGAGGGGGACGGCCGTAGCTGCTCACTCCACCGTCTTTGATTAAACAGACCTAACCTGATCAGGAGAAGGAGTAATGATCAAGTTCAGGCCTCGGCTCTGAGCACTGTCCAGGTCTCTATCGTCTGCCGGGAGGGTTTCTGATGGAACCAGGTCTGCTGACGCCCAACTGAGCTGAAGCTGGACGTGGAGACTTGTTGGAGGGTGGACCACAAGAAGACGTGTTCCTGTAGCGTTTGGCATCTGTTGGTGCAAGCATGAATCCAGTGTGGAAGGTTTATAAAAGCAAGGTGATGAAGACTCTAAACCCTGAGTATGAGGAGGACACGGCTGAGGAGGTACATCCCAAACCTTTTGTTTCCTGAAGATGAGTCTTGCTGTGTAGCATTTTATCCCAATTATAGATCAACCTGAAAGGTGTTTATTGTAGGAGAAGCTTTAAGACGTGTTCTCTCCTTCGTCAGCATCTTATCCATTAGAAAACTTGTTCAGAAATGCATCATTGTAGGTAATGTTCTCATAAACGATATCTGCGGCTCACGTTTTTCTACTCCTTCACCTTTCAGAGGACAAGTGTGTACTTTTAAGTCACTCCTAGCTTGAGGCTTGTTCTCCTTCTTAGACGTCCGAAGTCAGGAGGAGAACATACCCAACAACTCAAGAGTAAATAAATTAAAATAGGTTACGTTGCAGTTCTTTTCTCTTCTTTAAACTGTCAGTTCACTCTTGCTGTCACCAGATCATCCTGTGATGTTCTCCAGAAGTCTCCTTTCATCCATTTACTCAACGACAGTTTAACTACGCCTTAACTCCCAGAATTGTTTAATTTAGAAAAGAGTAATGCTCATGGCTGAGTCATTTAGTTGAAATAAATTGTGCCTGTGAAATTTGTGGCCTTGCTGCAATAACTTTGCTTTCTGTAGGAACTGGTACCAGGGAAACAGACAGCGTGCTGTTGACCCAGATATCTGCAGAGCTGAGAAATTTGATCCGGCGCAGGAGCTGAGCGAACAGATTAGTTTGTCTTCCAGTGACTGACTGACAGGGGATGAGACAGATAGCCAACTCCTCAGGGCGTCCTCAGATCAGCCAGCTGACATCTGCAACCTGTTCGCACGAGAAAAGACACACATTCTGCTGTTAATTCTGCCCGTTTGGAAAGAAATAACACATGAAATAAGATTCTGTTGCTTAAGCTGTTTAGGTGGACTTTAAAACAAATCATGTGCATTTTATTGGAATTTGTATGTTTACAATAATTGATTTGCCATGCAAAATTTTATTAAGAGAGATAAAGTCATCATATGAACCACATTTCCACTTCTTTGCGCTAGAAAAAGTCTTATATTTATTTTAGAAGTGCATTTCTTGGCGTCTGTTTCCTGATTCTTACAGCTTGTAGTACCACATTTTAAACACTGGATGGCGACATTTGTGCACAAACTCTTTGAAGCAGGGAATGGGCTGAAGTACAATCAAAGTACAATTGAAGTACAATCATTTAGTTCATTTTTGCTGATGTTGCAGGTCACAGAAGGGGAGATTGACATGAGTCCAATGCAGGATTATGAAGGGCCCAACACTGTGAGCCAACTGGCCAAAAAGGTAGGTGAACATAGAAAACTTGCGACAATTTATGTCCAGGTAATTTCATATCGTCATCAACATGTAACGGAATCAAAGCACAGATATTATGACAAATGTGTTCATTAAATACTGCAACACTTTCTGCCTCATAGGAAATTAAATCAAAGTTCACCGCCCCCTGAAAGCATTAAAACCAACCGTTGTTCTTTGAAAACGGCTACAAGCGGCGTGATTTGACCTTTGACCCTGTGTTTGGGTGTGGCTGTTTGCAGGTGCAGGGGGCCGGGGCTAAAAGCTGGAACAGATTCTCATCTCTTTTCAACAAAGAAGATGAGCACCAGCTTCTAGAGGAGACCGAGAGCCCGCCGGTGGCTGATCAGTGAGTGAGAACGCTCTTCACGTCTGACTTTTTACTTCCTCATTAGATTTTGTTGACAGGTTGGAAAGTATTTATCTTTTTTTAACAGTTTTTTACATGGAGCACAGTTTTTAATTTAGGGAAATGTCAAATTATATATAAATTACGATGTGAAGGCCTTGCAAATCTTAATGTACAGATCCATTTTTTCCCCAATAAACCAATAATTCCACATTTCGTAAGCTATAATTTTGTACAGCCCAGTATGTACAGGTATTCACCTGGTATGTATCTCTTACTGTGTATTTACTGGACAGTCTGGTGCAAACCTGGTGCATTTGTACCAGATACTGTAAGTACAGTACACAGTAATATGTCACTTCATAACATTGTTTAGTTTGTTTTTAAGTACCAGGTATGGAACAAGTAAATGCACAGTACTTACTCCATGAATACCAGATACTTGCCCAGTACATACTTTATAAGTACCAGGTATGTATCTGGTATTTAACCTGTACTTACTCTGTATGTACCCTGTAAGAACAAGACACATACCTTGTATCAGGTCAGTAACCAGAATGTAAGCACTGGCAGTACTTATTCTGTAAGCACCATGTAATAATCTGTTATGTACCCTAAATGTACCAGGTAAGTGCCATTTATGTGACATGTATTACTTGGTATGTACCATGTAAATACTTTGTAAGAACCAGATGCAAACCCTGTTAGTACAGAGTAATACAGTTTGGTAGGTACCAGGTATGCAATAAGTACATAATGATTACATACCCTGTGAATACCAGTCATCTGGCTGATATTTACTCTGTAAGTAACAGGAAAGTACTTAATATATATCCAGTACTTACATGGTGCCTAACATGTAAGTAGCCTGTAAGTACCTGGTCAGTAACCAGAATGTAAACAGTACTTACTCTGTAAGCACCATGTAATAACTTGTTATGTACTCCATAAGTACCAGGTAAGTACCATTTATGTGACATGTATTACTTGGTAATACTCTGTAAGAACCAGATGCAAAACCTGCTAGTACAGAGTAATACATTTTGGCAGGCACCAGGTAACAAGTACATACTGATTACATACATCAGCAACCAGAATGTAAACAGTATTTACTTGGTAAGCACCATGTACTAACCTGTTTTGTACTCTGTAAGTACCAGGTAAATATAATTTATGTGACATGCACTTACTTGGTATGTACCCTGTAAGTACTCGGTAAGTACCAGGTAAGTACTAGATATACACCCTGTATGTACTGGCTGTATTAGTATTACTAGTGCTGCTACAGGACTAATAAATTTAAGACCAACAGAAATCCAAGGCACCCACTACTTTATTTTATTTTTTTATTCTCAGTCCTCTCGCAGCGAAACCTGAAGAACCCCCTCAGCCCACCAGACGCTCGGGATTCTGGGATAGCTTTGCAGCCAACTGGGCCGCCAAGAAGCAGGCCGAAGCTGCTGCAGCTGCAGGAAACGAGGGGGCAGCAGAGCAGGCTGAGGTGGGGGGGCCAGAGGCTGGTGGAGGGGAGGAACAGCATGACGGGCAGAACAGCCAGGGAGAGGCGAACGAAGGAGGGAGCAGCGGCAACAACAGATTCTCCAAGTACGTATCTCTGGGAGGAAGCAACGAGGACCCGGCCTTCAAGTGGAACTTTGTTACCAACAAACTGGCAGAGCTGAAGAGCAAGAGCATGACGAAGACCAACTAATGACGCGTGGAGAAACTTAACAGAACGTAAAGGGCAGAAACAAACGTTGATTGAAGTGTGTTTTACAAAAAGGGCTAAAAATACCTGCATTAAAGACGGTCACGGTAAAATCATTAAACCATGAGAAAAGGCCTGGATACGTTTCAGGAAACGGGTTAATCTGTGTCTTAAAAAAAAACTGGATTAACAGATTAAAGGCAGTGATATCTGGATTAGGTGAGGATTAGCTCAATTAACTTGTTCAGCAATCAGAGGATTAGGGTTTGAACTTGAACGCTCTGCGGAATGGTGAAACCTTTACACATTTATGCGGTTAGAAAATAAAGAAAACGATTTGAAACGTTTTAACTTGTGTGTTTGAGTTCGTGTCGGACGTGATGATTTTCTGGTTGTGACGGAGACTAAAATGTGCAATGTGTGGATATTTGATTGTGATAAGTCATTTCAGTTCCTTCTCGTTGGCTTTTTGACTTGTATGCTCATTTTCTTGTTCTGTTCTAATAAAACATACAAAAGACTTGCTTAAAAAGTTTGGAAGCTCAGTAAAAATTTAATAAATATTCCTTTATCGGAAAAAAAATGCAACATTCATTTATTATTTTTCTTTCGTCTAAGATTTAAAGGTAAACAAACAGTAAACACTCAGTGTTTGTTAAGCTCTGAATTTGTTCAAACTGTTTAAAAATAATCTGGCACCAGCTCACATCTTTAGCCGATAATCTCGTAAATTTAAAACATATTCATTCAATAAATGACATCAGGTCATGCCGTATATTTAGTTTAATCGTTTTCTCTTAATTTGGGATGTGTTAAAACTTTGATCTGTTTTGAGTCTTTCTGAATTTATGTTTTTTTTTTAATGATTTGTGTGAATAACAGAAAATGTTGCACATTTTCATTCTATATTTAAATATTTGTTGTTTTGATTCCAGCTCAGAAAACGCTGACATGCTGCTATAGGCATTGCATCAATTATATGTGAAGGGGACGCGTCCCCCTCACATTTAAAAAATGTTCATTTGACCCCCCGACATTTACCATGAAACATTAGTTCACTTAGCGCTGTTTCTATTTCTTCGTGAACAAATCCATTCCATTTGATAAATAGGAGAATACTCAAACCAACAAAAGTCCACTCCAGGTTTTCCTGGTTGCCTACAACTCTCCACAGCATCAGTTTTTGTCCCCTGGGTCTCTTGCCTTGGCAGGGCGCTCACAGGGGGAGGAGGGGGAGACACCTCAGTGTTGCATGCTAGCTTAGCGCTACGTTATGATTCTTGAAAGAAGTGGAGCGCTACGTCTGGAGCATTTTAGCTAGCGCGTCTGCATTGCATGCGGCTAGCTTAGTTCTACGCTGTGTGTGACGCTTTAAGACGCTGTAAAGTGAAAGGCGCTGTGTGATTTAATTAAAGTTTACATTTCTTTAAAACCCCACAACTTATTGTCCTCAAGCTTGGTGAGAAACATCCTTTCGATGAATAGTGTTGAGCACAAGTAAAAAAGGCTAGTGGCGATGTTTTTTTATTTCTTTATAAACACAAATAGTGCCGACCTGACGCTGTGTTTAAGTGCATTAAAGTTGAAATGTCTTTAAAACCCCACAGCTAAATTTCCACAAACTTGGTGAGAAACATGCGTTAAATCAGTGGAATTAAAGTAAGAAAATCTAGGTGAAATGTGGCTTCTTTGTACGTTATTTGCCTTTAAACAGGGGCCATACACAATGGCGCAAATACAGCAGCTGTAAAGGTTGTTGTAATGCAGCGATCTGGATTTGAGAGAGAGTTAGGTTTCGTAATGGAAGGCCTTAACGCAGCCGTTAAAATTAGGCCTGTCACGATACCAAATTTTGCTGGGCGATTAATTGTCTCCGAAATTATTGCGATAAGCGATAATATTATTTGAAATTTGACAATAATTAGTCATTATTGTCAAATTTAAGAAGGAAGGTTGGTTAATTTAAATTTACATGTAGTATCTTCTTTCAACCTCTGAATGGCAGTATAAAAACATTTGATTCGAAGGATGGATAGTGAGAGAGCGAGCAGCGTGTCTCTTTAAGAAAAATGGCAGGGAGGCCCCTTGATGTGACATGGGCCATCTCTCCTTCCTTTATTCGGTTCTCACAATGGCGGATGCTCGGTGTGGTTTGAGTGCTTTAGCATAGCATTTTTCACATAAAGCTTTTAATAAAAAAATCAGTAAACAAGTTCTCAGCTTCTTTTTGCAGAAAAAAACAACCTTTTTTAGACAAAGGCACAGGTTTCATCTGTGAATTTTGGAGCTTCAACAAGACAGATGTTTTTTTCCCCCGAGGTCGGCCTGTTAGCTTAGCTCGTAGCTTAGCTTCTCAGCTTAGCTGCTTTTAACAATCCAAGCATGCAATTTTGGACGGTTAAAATGGATTTTAAAGCAAAAAGAGAAAGGGAGGGGTCAGTGAAGAACACCTGAGTTGAGCTTTTTGTCATCCAGTGTCTTCAGTAGAAAGAGAGAGACACGAAGAAACGATAAAACCAATAAAAGAAGATGAGGTCGATAATTTTCATTTATCATGCGATTAAGTGATTTGTTGTTTATCAAGACAGGCCTAGTTAAAATACACCACACATGCACGCATGCACATCCTCCCCCCCACCCCCCCCCCACCCACCCACACACACATACACAGATTTGCCCAAGTCCACATTGAGGGTGCATATTTTAACCACCTACCTTACGGGACACCCCTTTCTGAATGGTTTAGGGACAAACTGGTAAGTGATTTGTTTTACTCTAAATTTACAGAAAACAAAAGTCACCATCCATCCGTCCATTATCTTTTACCCACTTCATTTTTTGAGAAAATTATTTTTTGCTCTCACATTTGAGACTGGGAAATTTTTATGTCTACTTTGGGGCCTTGAGTTTTACACAGATACACAAACTGATTAAAGTCACCTTTGGGTACCTTATATCCCTTTGGGGATTTTAATTCAATTCAATTCAGTTTATTTATATAAAATAAACGGGTTCACCCCCTCTTTTATATTTATACAAAAATAAACAAATGACTGGTGTGTAAGCTTATTCAAGTCCCCAAATATAATAGAAACAAACTCTCACACACTCTACCAGTGTGTCCCCACACATTGCAAATACTTCTGACACCCGTGCGTGCAGCACATTATAAAAACATAAAGTGTTTATGAAATCATGGTTGTTACACAGTTTTTAGGACAGGTGAAAGTCTGTGATATGCTTCTTTGCGTTTTTAATCATTGAAATACATTATTTGATGAGTTTAGTTTTGACCTTTACATCAATTTGAGTTTGAAATTCCCTCCATTTCTTTATCACAAAACCTCTTATTTAAATTTTTATATTATGTTTATTTAGGTGATGCATAGTTGAGATGGCTCAGTATCCTCGTCTGGAGGGTGCTGATTTGGTCTTTCGTAAAGAAAGAACTGAGCTAAAAAGCAAAAGCTTCGACTTGCTGCTTCGTCTACGTTCCAACCCTCACCTAAAGTCTGAAGGTTTGGATTATGTCAAAGTGGATGAATGATTTATGATTGTGACTGTGGAAACTGGGAACATTTTGACTCTAAATCCAGAATTCTTCCTCCAACCACAAGAGGACTCCCTTTACTTCTGAATCACTGAACTAGTTTCTAACTGCTTACTTCATCCACGCATCCCATCCATGTTTTATTTGAGCCAAAAACACTTCAGATTTCCTTTCATCTACCTTTCCCTTCTTTTATTGAATTTCCTGCTATTTTAAAGAACCAGTTTCCTCCCATGTTGGGACCTTTGCTGAGTTTTCCATTTAAATTTAATAACAAAATAAACGGTGAAAATGACATCAGCAAATGCACCAAAAGCTCAGGTGTTTTGTTCTTTTTATAGACAATGACGATCCTCCGTTCTCTATTTCCATGTGCTGTCGCTCTGATTTTCAGCCGTCATCTCAGGTCCTGCGAGACCCATTGAGTCCCAGCAGCTCCGTCCACTCTTCCCCACACTTGTCAGCCTCACTTTGAATCAGAATAAATCCTTCTGTGCTTTCAGCTCAGCAGCATGTTCTAACATTTGAGCTTTTTTCCCCTTTCTAACATCTAACTCGCTCATAAGTAAAGTCAGGGGGAAATCAGTTTTCTGAATGTTGTGTTGAAGTCAATATTACAGTTTCAGGACACACAGTCAGTTATACTCAGTGGAAATGGGGTTTGTGGAGCATGAAAGCACCGAAAACTGAACAGCAGATTGGACAAGGAGAGAATGGAGCAGGAAGAACGAGCAAAGCAATGTTAAAAGCTGTTGTTTCCGCTCGCCTTTAAAATGCAACTAAAGCAGCTCAAAAATAACAAGCACATTCTCACCAGGAATTAAAGTTCAAGAGTAGAACAAACAAAGTAAATCTTTTGAGTGTTAAGTCCAAATGTGAAGACGTTATGATGGTAAATCCCGTGTAAATCTGGGCTGAAGAGTAAAAGCTTAATTTGTATTTATTTACAAAGAGAGAGAAGCATTAGAAATACAGCTTTTAAACAAATGTCTAGCATTCATCGAAGATCCAAACACTATTCACCATCTTTAATGTCAGAGTTTTAGACTAATTCAGTCCAGTTTATTAATTTATATATCACCAATTTCAAACAAATGTTGTCTCAGGGCATAAACATTCACATACATCAAAAATGCCAATTAGTTAAAGTTTTAAACAGATCGTGTCAAATCCAGAATCCAGAAATCAAAGGACCTGCTGGTGGACACCAGCAGTGATGGATGCCGTCAAGCTGAAGAAAGAGGCCTTCAGGACTTGGTTGTTCTGGAGGACTCCTGAAGCAGCAGATAGGTACAGGGTGACCAGAAGGACTGCAGCGTCGATGGTTGCAGAAGCAAAAACTTGGGCATGGGAGGAATTCGGGACTTTCAGTTGGCCTTGAGGAAGTTCTGGCAAACAGTTTGCCAACTCAGGAAAAATAAAGTGGACCTTATTCCAGGCTGTGCTTGATCTGGGTGGGGAACTGTTGACCCAAACTGAGAATGTT